TGAATCCAGATTTGTAATATAACTGTTAAACATAAGCGTTTATAACTGCGCAATTTTGACATCGTTTGACCCAGCATATCTTACCTCTATTCGCCACCAAAGCTTTCACCAACGTGACGTCACCATCTCAGTCTCTTTCATTACTTGGAGCGAAGGGGTAGCCTAGTGGTTAATGCGTTCGCTCTTCACGCCGAAGACCCGGGTTCGACACCCCACATGGGTACAATGTGTGAAGGCCATTTCTGGTCTCCCCCGCCGTGATATTGCTACATGTATGTTGCAAAAAGCGGCATAAAACCACTGACATTCATTATTTTCTTAGCACAGCATGTCTCTCTCGTGAATGTCAAACGTCTACGCGTCATGTAACTAAATCGGTCTCACCATATATATTTTGTTGTGGACTTAAATTTTGTTTCTATTTCAGGTGGGGCAGCTTTCGTCCAGTGCTCTGTGTTCTTTACGATGGCTGTGGCAACTTTGGCTCTTCTCCGATTGTAGATGATTGGGCTTTAAAGACAGAACTTTCTCACTTCTTCTGATTTACGCCATGTAATTGAAGCTGTAAAAGCAGATACTTGTAATGCCAACATATGTCTACCAGGAATACGTCCTGATGCACTAAGAGGCATTCCCGTATGATGCAGACTGTATATCGTGCCGTGTAGGATGCTGTACATTTCGACATGTAGATGACGCGAAAGGAGACCGTTGTCCTTGACTTTCGCTGACGTAACTCTTGTCAGTGTGGGGGCACTACCATCACGATTAACAGTTGCATACATCAATTGTTAAGAAAATAAATATCTTTTGCACAGTTGTCTTTTGAAATATATTTTTGAACATATCTCGCAGAGCCGCATGTATCTCTTCTGCATCAGTATGACGTAGTTTGGACATACCAACTAGCTGGTGATACATTGACATGTACGGTGGCTTGCATGAGTGAGTGAATAAAGGGAGTGAGTGAGTGAGTGATCATGCATTGATTATTTAATTATACATTTGTATTTATGGTGGTTTGCATGAGTGAGTGAGTGAGTGAGTGAGTGAGTAAGTGTGGATTGGTGGCTGAACGAGTGAGTGGCTGACTGAGTGAGGAAGTGATCATGCATTGATTATTTGATTATACATTGGTATTTATGGTGGTTTGCATGAGTGAGTGGCTAATTATACATTGATTATACACATTATATGGTGATTTGCATGAGTGAATGAGTGAGTGAGTGCGTGAGTGTGGAAGTGTGGATGACTGAGTGGATGGGTGGCTGAACTAGTGAGTGGCTGAGTGAGTGAGGAAGTGATTATGCATTGATTATTTGATTATGCATTTGTATTTATGGTGGTTTGCATGAGTGAGTGAGTGAGTGAGTGAGTGAGTGTGGATGGCTGAGTGCATGGGTGGCTGAACTAGTGAGTGGCTGAGTGAGTAAGTGATCATGTATTGAATATTTGATTATGCATTTGTATTTATGGTGGTTTGCACGAGTGAGTGAGTGAATGAGGAGTATGGATGGCTGAGTGCATGGGTGGCTGAACGAGTGAGTGGCTGAGTGAGTGAGTGAGTGAGGAGATGAATGAGTTATTGAATGAGTGAGTGATGGTGAGTAAATGATCGAGTGAGTTGGGGTAAACGACGGTCAGTATACAGTATACAATGCTTCGTTGCTCTAGTTGCCATTTTCTGTTCATATTTATTCTCGGAGACCCTGTCGTCTAAAGAGCCCCAATTCCATATGCAGTGGTGCGTCCCTTAGACATGTCAGAAACTTATGATCCAGGGTTAGCCCTAATTATGTTTCTTGGTTTGTCAGCACTATACCCGTTATCGTGTTTGACATATGCTATCCTCTGCCGTAAGGCCGTGATATGACTGAAAGATTGTTCAAAATGGCGTTAAACCAAACTAGCAAACCAGGATTCAACCTACGATCCTAAGGGACGCGACCGTGTAAGGTGAGTTATGGAGCATTAACCCCCAAACGTAACCTCGAGCGCACGGTAAAGTGTTGGCTTGTCATGCTTGCAATTTGGGTTCGATTCCGATCATGCGTCAATGTGTAAAGCCCATTCCTAATATTCGTGTTGTAATATATTGCTTTGATAAACCTGAAAACGACGTACAACACACTATGGAACAGTGAGTGAGTGACTGATTTGGGTTTAACGCCGCTTTTAACAGTATTCACGTTATATCACGGCGTGTCAGCTTAATGTGGGAGGAAAGCCCGAAGTGATGCAGGTCTCAGACGTTTACCACTTCGGTAAAACCCTCGAGCACGGGTATGGTGCTGACAAACCTAGAAACATAATCGGGGCGAACCGGGATTCGAACCCACAATCATAGGTTTCTGGCGTGCCCAAGGGACGCAACTCTGCACAGTGAATCGCGGCGCCTTAGACGACTGGGCCACCCGTGCCCCCACTATGGAACAGGGATGGGTGAATGGGGAATAAAGAGTGCGTGAACGAGTATGTTTTACGACGCTTTTAACAATATGCCAGCAATATCAAGGCGGGTCACACCAGAAATGGGCTTCACACATTGTACCCATGTCGGGAATCGAACCCGGGGTTTCTGCGTGACGAGCGAACGCTTGAACCACTAGGTCACCCGACCGCACCGGGGAATAAAGATCGGGGTGAAACATCTAAGAACTCTTATAAAACTATGATTCAGATATATATATATATAACACGTCAACGCCAGAGAATACCAAGTTTCACCCTCCAATACAGATTCCACTGGATTTACTATCGAAAATAGCTGTGAAAATTATAAAAAAAGGAAAACAAAACACCATTTTGGCCCACAAAGATGTTGATTTGAATGTAAGGCACGTTACCAGTTTTCAAACACAATACCTCCATCTTGGCTGTTTCTAATTGATAAGAAATATTCTTTACGGCAGATTTATGGCAGGGAAAGGGTTGTAACACTTACACGGGATTATCAGAGGGTTCTTGTTTCACCTGGAAGTACCACTCAGGTGCAATAAATGAACACATGTGCATGCCGGAACCGATGTGTTATAGCTGAACACTGCTCCCTGTGACAGATGCCGGCGTTTGATATATAACACGTTGGCTAGGGGAATTACGGGGGACCAGGTGTTGCACTGCTGTAAAATCCGGTAAACGGGAGAAACGAGGACACGCTTTAAACTTTAGGGACTTGTCCTCCTCGTACCCCACCTAGGTTTAAAAGAGATGTCCTCCTCGTCATGGTGTACCCCACCAAGGTTAAAAAGAGATGTCCTCCTTGCCATGGCGTACCCCACCTAGGCTACAAATATGCCCTCCTCGTCATGGTGTAGTCCACCTAGGTTACAGATATGTCCTCGTCGTGGTGTGCCTCACCTAGGTTTTAAAGAGTTGTCGTCCTCGTCATGGTGTACCCCTTCTAGGTTACAAATATGTCCTCTTCATAGTGTATTCCACCTAGGTTATAAAGAGATGTCCTCCTCGTCATGGTGTACTACACCTAGGTTACAGATATGTCCTCTTCATAGTGTATTCCACCTAGGTTATAAAGAGATGTCCTCCTCGTCATGGTGTACCCCACCTAGGTTACAGATATGTCCTCGTCATGGTGTGCCCCACCTAGGTTATAAAGAGATGTCCTCCTCGGCATGGTGTAGTCCACCTAGGTTACAGATATGTCCTCGTCATGGTATGCCCCACCTAAGTTATAAAGAGATGTCCTCCTCGTCGTGGTATAGTCCACCTCGGTTGTAAAAATATGTCCTCCTTGTCATGGCGTACCCCACTTAGGTTACAAATATGCCCTCCTCGTCGTGGTGTAGTCCACCTAGGTTACAGATATGTCCTCGTCGCGGTGTGCCCCACCTAGGTTTTAAAGAGATGTCCTCCTCGTCATGGTGTACCCCTTCTAGGTTACAAATATGTCCTCTTCATAGTGTATTCCACCTAGGTTATAAAGAGATGTCCTCCTCGTCATGGTGTTCTACACCTAGGCTACAGATGTTTCCTCCTCATAGTGTATTCCACCTAGGTTATAAAGAGATGTCCTCCTCGTCATGGTGCACCCCACCTAGGTTACAGATATGTAGTGATTTTACTTCCGCGAACAATATGGTGATTAACTGCCCTGATGGTTTCGCCAATTAATAGTGTGATCGTCCGGCACGATCTGCGTAGTGTTATTCTAAACTGCGGTCCGCGACTGTTAGCTCAGAACTAGGGATTTTACCTTTCTCGAAGCTTCGTTGCAGACGATCCCTTTTCCGGCAGCGCTCGGCCACGTGCACCTCGGCCTCGGCTGCCCGAACAATTCCGAGGGAAACCGAATGTCTCCGACGGAAGTAGAGATCGTCTCACACAACACTCCTCCCTGTTTTCTAACCTCGGGTACATCCGAGGACGTCCGTCATTGCTGAAGGTCCTCCCCCATCTTTTCTGCTCAGGCACATCCGGAGACGTCCGTCATTGCTGGAGGAACACCTTACTTTTTAGCCGCTCTGGCACATCCGAAGACGTCCGTCATCGCTGGGAGGGATGCTTTAATATTGCTGGAAACCCTACTCCACACATTCAATCATGCGAGGCGTTAAGGGTTTGTACCCATGAATGGACACGGGTACTTGATTTACTGTGTCAATATGGAGTTTCTATATTCTTGCAACCTTACTCCACACATTCAATCATGCGAGGTGTTAAGGGTCTGTAGGTTTAATGGTATCCCCACAGCCTATGGCATCAGATAATTTAAGATGCAAAATACCCATGAATAGACACGGGTACTTGATTCACTGTGTCTTGTATTTCCTTGTACGTAGTTTTTAAATCCTTGCAGCCCTACTCCACACATTCAATCAGGCGAGGTGTTGAGGGTTTGTACCCCACAATTAGCATCGGATAATTAAGATGCAAAATACCCATGAATGGACACGGGTACTTGATGGGGTGAGTTGTGTTTATCGTGGCTGTACCACTTTCCTGACCCCCAGGAGTAACCCGGGTGTCCTTCTAGTCACTTACTAGAAGTGGTACAGGGCTTGGCTGTTGGCTGTGGTGGTGGCGAGAACCGATTCCACTGTTGTCCCACGGATCCTTGATACCAAGTAGGCCACCTCGCCTATATCATTGGGGGTGCTGATCCTGTTATTTCTCGGAGACAGGTAGGGTGCATCTGTCTCTAGGAGTAGCCTATCTTCTGGTACCCTCCTTACAGCTCTCTTTTGTTGAGATGTGAATCTCGCCACCATTCCAGAAAATCCAAAGTAGGCCCTGGGGAATTTGACCAACCAGGCCTCTAGAACCTGGTAATCTCCCCCAAAGCAATGGACATGAATGGCCATGACTGATACACTATCTGCTTTGGATTCCTGGCAGTGCCTATCTAGGATGCCTATAGCAAGGCAATGGGCCACAGCACCAAAATTCTTCTTTTCGTCCATTGCGTTGCCACGGCAATGGACTATCACCGGTAGGCCTGATGGCTTGAGTTTAAGCAGGCTTTGGAACACCTCCCTCTGTCGCACCCAGGAGGCTGGAGGGGTGGACTGGTCGATACCGATCTCCCCTAGGGCGACGACTTGAGGCTGTTTCAGGAGGTGGCAGATCTTCTCCTTGATAGCCTGGTTAAATTGGTCTGCCTTCTTAGGATGCAGACCAATAGCGTGGTGGATCCTTGTGTCCTGGCCTGTGACCTTTGGATATGTGCCCGGGTCACAATGTACGGACACCACACTAACCAACTGAAATGGTCGATCTGGATGTTGCTGGGGTCCTGGCTTTAGGGTGTCCTCCAAAGACCTACTTTCTAGGTACTTGCCAAACTGTCTAAGTTGGAGACGATCCAGATGACAATGAGAGTCAATGGCTTGAGGTGAGATGGGACCCGCAAGGGACTGACCATCAAACTCTGAGGCGCCCTCATCCAAGACGAGGACGTCCAAAACCTGCTCCATATAACAGAGTGTCCTGGTTACTGAATGGGGTGGTAGTAACGTACGCCGGGGTATCATGATGCGACATACATTAACTGGTTTACCTGACTCCCTTAAAACCATGTCCACTGTTGTTCCATTTATGGTTAGGATATGATTTTTCATGTCAATTTCGGCACTATTTTTCAGCAAGAAGTCAAAGCCCAGGATTATATCATCTCCTATTGGAGCCACATATACAGGCATTTGGAAATGCTTGTCTTGGACCTGCAATGTGACTGGTTTGGTGAGAAAACCCTGCATCTTCAATTCTCGTCCAGCAGTGCGTAAGGTGACATCATGGTTCTTCACTGGTTTATGTTGAAGCTTCTTGAATAGCTTCACCTCTGCTGCAGTATCAATTATTGCCTTTGTGCCCTGGACCAATAGCGGGATGGTAAAAACTGTTCCATGATGCACTGCATTGATGGTAACTTCAGGGCATAGACCTTTGAAGATGTCACTACTCACAGCAGTTTGTGGTCTGCTAGGACCATTGCCGTGAGCAGTGACTTCCTCGTGGGCACCTTTAAAGGAATTTGAGAGACCTAGCTGTGGCGCCCTGATTGCAGTTTCCAGCTGGCCTTCACTCCAGTGCGGGGTAGGACTTAGGCCTTTCGACCCACCCCGTTGGAGTTTAACTCCTTCTCCCCGGAACTCTGTTCCTCTCGAAATGTTACCCTTTTGTCTTTAATCGGGCTTCTCTGAGGACAATTTATCTTAAAGTGTCCCACTTGGCCACACTGGTAACATTTGTTGCTGCGACCAGGTGATGTTGCGGGACTAGGGGAACGGGAACGCCTATTGCTAAACCTTCCCATTACTTTGAATAGCATGGTTTCCATCTTGTCGAACCTTGCCTCCAGCTGGTCCATTTTCTTTTCCAGGGTTGGGGTTCTGGAATTGCTTACTGGTGACCTTGATACAGCCCTGACTTGAAAATCTCCACCCTCTTCTCGATCAGATGCCAGGTATCTTATCTGTCTCGGCTTACCATAGATGGCCTGATGGGTGTGCTGGAATGTGCGCACAGCATCCATTGCTTTCTCAAGAGAAAAGGGATGTAGGTTGGCTGCATACTGACCTGCCTCCTTCTGCTCACATCCAAGACAGAACCTCATGATGACTTGTCGCTCAACATAGTCTTCTGGCAATCTGTCAAATGCAATTGTTGCTGTTGACGTGAGCCGTTCCGACCATTTCTCGAGGGACTCATCAGGTTGTTGGCGCATGGTGTTGAATTTCACCTGCGCTGTTTCTGGAAGTTCTTGGCGATCATACCACCGTTGAAACTTCTTAACGAGATCCTCAAATGGGATATCGGGATCTCGCTCAATGCAAGAAGCGAAGTATTCACTTGCTTCGTCCTTCATGCAGAAGCATAACTGGTCCCGTAACTCCTCAGAATTCCAGTTCTCTCGTTTGGCATAAGTCCTAAACTTTAAATAAAAGCCGACCAACGACTCTTTCCATCAAAGACCAGGGCCCTAGGTACCTTGATTGCCGGGCTGTGTCTGTCCTGACTTGCATAGCTCTGCCTTGGTTGATGCTGTCTGGCCCTTCCTGGGTTAGGAAACCTGTATTCGTCATCACCAACATGATCAAGCGCTGGCTCTATGCAAATCTCTGGTTCTCTGTTACTTGGGCGACCAGGCTCGGTAATAATCTGAGTGCGTCGTCTGACATCCCCTGCCCCATACTCTCGGTCACTGAGAAATTGCCCAGGATGTATATCTCTTCCTGGTTGGTTTTCGACCCTTCCTGACTGGGGAATTGTTTGAACATGTGTGGCCTGATATTTGTCAATGACAGAAATTAAATGATTTTGCTGTCTTGATCGGTCATCTTGAATCCGAGATGCTGTTGCCTGTGCTGGCACGTTGGGTCGAACCCCACCATGGATATTCTGGTCTGGGGTTTGGACTCGGCTGCTTACCGGTACCTGTTGTGTCCGCTCTTGGCGTTCTGCCAATAATGACTGAATTAATGCATCTCTTTGACGCAACTCTTCCTCATATCGGAGTGCTGCGACTTGAGCAAACGCTGGCGGTGAGTATGGTGAGTACTGGTAAGGCGAGTACTGTGCCAGGATGTGCGGATATGTGTTGGGCATGCTGGTTGCAAGAGTGCTCGCAACTAGTGGTGGTGGCATACAATTGACTGTTGCAAGAGTGCTCGCAACTAGTGGTGGTATATGATGGGGTGTTGCAAGAGTGCTCGCAACACTGCCAACAGGTGGTGGTATATGAGTGGGTGTTGCAAGGGTGCTCGCAACACCGCCAGCAGGTGGTGGTTGATGTACTGGGGTCATTAAACCCCCATACCCTGATGACATACCGACCGCAGAATTTGGCCCCATGTTGGCTGAACTTGATATACCTGGTTGTAGAAGGCTTTGAGCCAGAGGCTGGCTATCCATTGTAGGGCTTCCTATTTCAGGGCTTCCAGGTGCAGAGAAATCAAAATAGTCAGCCAAGGAGGTGACTTTATGAATTTTTAAATTTAGAAATTCCTCCTTGGTGATTTCCCCATTATTCTCAATGTGTGCCATTATTAATTTTGCTATGGAACGGCCGATGCCAGGCACTGTGACCAAATCTTGAATTTCACAAAAGTTAATGTAAATTTTGTCTTCTGCCATGGTTTGATTTAATTTTGAAGTCCTAATTCACTTTATGAACAAGATGTTTTTATCAAAATCTATCGCAACACACAGCAGGTGTGGGATCCAAACTTCAAATTGTTGAGCAATATTGTATTTTGCAAAAATTATCGCAAAACTCAGCGAGTGTGTGATCCCAAACTCGACAATATTGACGATTCCTGTGTTGTCTTGTCACCACAGAATATTCAACAGATTTCAATTTTATTATACGATTAATCCACGATGAATAGGTATCACGGTGGACCAAAAGTGGTAATAAATCAATCTCACACAAAAATTTCGTTCAGAAAATACATATACATACAAACAATCGCTCGTATGCAAAGTATCACGGACGAGGGTAAAGGTCACGAGGTCAGAGGTTTTGTTGACGCTCGCAACAGACTGTCAAAATTTCTCAAAATCTGCCAAACACGTTAATTCGCGTGGCACATGAATGAAAAATGTTTGAGACATACATATAATAACATATAGCATCAATAATTACAATATTTGCCGTACATGGAAAATATCTTCCAATCGTACGACAAAATTTTCACTTCAGATCGGCAACGGTCAAAACAATCAAAATGGCGGCCCGTTCAAAAGCAGAAATCGTATTTTTGTTCGCAGCGCCACTGTAGTGATTTTACTTCCGCGAACAATATGGTGATTAACTGCCCTGATGGTTTCGCCAATTAATAGTGTGATCGTCCGGCACGATCTGCGTAGTGTTATTCTAAACTGCGGTCCGCGACTGTTAGCTCAGAACTAGGGATTTTACCTTTCTCGAAGCTTCGTTGCAGACGATCCCTTTTCCGGCAGCGCTCGGCCACGTGCACCTCGGCCTCGGCTGCCCGAACACTTCCGAGGGAAACCGAATGTCTCCGACGGAAGTAGAGATCGTCTCACACAACAGATATGTCCTCGTCATGGTGTGCCCCACCTAGGTTATAAAGAGATGTCCTCCTCGGCATGGTGTAGTCCACCGAGGGTACAGATATGTCCTCGTCATGGTGTAGTCCACCCAGGTTACAGATATGTCCTCTTCATAGTGTATTCCACCTAGGCTACAGATATGTCCTCGTCATGGTGTGCCCCACCTAGGTTATAAAGAGATGTCCTCCTCGTCATGGTGTACCCAAACTAGGTTATAAAGAGATGTCCTCCTCGTCATGGTGTACCCCACCTAGGTTACATATATGAAGAGATGTCCTCCTCGTCATGGTGTACCCAAACTAGGTTATAAAGAGATGTCCTCCTCGTCATGGTGTACTACATCTAGGTTACATATATGTCCTCGTCATGGTGTGCCCCACCTAGGTTTTAAAGAGATGTCCTCCTCGTCATGGTGTACTACACCCAGGTTATAAAGTAACGTCCTCCTCGCCACGGTATACCCCACCTAAGTTTTAAAGAGATGTCCTCCTTGTCATGGTGTACCCCACCTAGGTTACAAATATGTCCTCTTCATAGTGTATTCCACCTAGGTTATAAAGAGATGTCCTCCTTGTCATGTTGTACTCAACCTATGTTACAGATATGTCGTCATCGTAGTGTATTCCACCTAGGTTGTAAAGAGATGTCCTCGTCATGGAGTAACCCACCTTGGTTATAAAGAGATGTCCTCCTCATCATGGTGTCTTCCACTTAGGTTATAAAGAGATGTCCTCCTCGTCCAGGTGTATCCCACCTAGGTTTTAAAGTGAGATCACCCTTGTCATTGTGTACCCCACCTAGGTTATAAAGAGATGTCTTCCTTGTCATGGCGTACCCCACCTAGGTTGCAAATATGTCCTCCTCGTCATGGTGTAGTCCACCTAGGTTACAGATATGTCCTCGTCGTGGTGTGCCCCACCTAGGTTATAAAGAGATGTCCTCCTCGTCATGGTGTACCCCACCTAGGTTATAAAGAGATGTCCTCCTCGTCATGGTGTACCCCACCAAGGTTAAAAAGAGATGTCTTCCTCGTCATGGTGTACCCCACCTAAGTTATAAAGAGATGTCCTCCTCGTCACTGTGTACCCCACCTAGGTTATAAAGAGATGTCCTCTTCGTCATGGTGTATTACACCGAGGTTACAGATATGTCCTCGTCATGGTGTGCCCCACCTAGGTTTTAAAGAGATGTCCTCCTCGTCATGGTGTACCCCAACTAGATTTTAAAGAGATGTCCTCGCCATGGTGTATTCCACCTCGGTTTTAAAAAAGATGTCCTCCTCGTCATGGTCTTCCTCACCCAGGTTATAAATTAACGTCCTCCTCGCCACGGTATACCCCACCTAAGTTTTAAAGAGATGTCCTCCTTGTCATGGTGTACCCCACCTAGGTTACAAATATGTCCTCTTCATAGTGTATTCCACCTAGGTTATAAAGAGATGTCCTCCTTGTTATGGTGTACTCATCCTAGGTTACAGATATGTCGTCATCATGGTGTATTCCACCTAGGTTGTAAAGAAATGTCCTACCCGTAGTGGTTTACCCCATGTAGATTATAAAAAGATGTCCTGCTCGTGTTGTAACCCACCCGGGTTATACAGAGATGTCCTGCCCGTAACGGTATACCCCCTATAGGTTATAAAGAGATGTCCTGTCCGTCATGGTATACCCATATAGGTTATAAAGATATGCCCTCCTCGCCACGGTGTACCCCACCTAGGTTATAAATATGTCCTCTTCATAGCGTATTCCACCTAGGTTATAAAGAGATGTCTTGCTCATGTTTGAACCCATCCGGGTTATAAAGAGATGTTCTGCCCGTCATGGTATACTCCATATAAGTTATAAAGAGATGTCCTCCTCGTCATGGTGTACCCCATATAGGTTATAAAGAGATGTCCTTCCCGTCATGTTATACCTCATATAGGTTATAAAGAGATGTCATGTCCGCCATGGTACATGCCACCTAGGTTATACAGAGATGTTCTACCCGTCATGGTATACCCCCTATAGGTTAGAGACATCCTGCCCGTCATGGTATACCCCATATAGGTTAGAGACATCCAGCCCGTCATGGTATACCCCATATAGCTTATAAAGAGATGTCCTCCTCGTCATGGCATACCCCATATAGCTTATATAGAGATATCCTGCCCGTCATGGTATACCCCATATAGGTTATAAAGAGATGTTCTGCCCGTCATGGTATACCCCAAGTAGGTTATAAAGAGATGTCCTGCCCGTCATGGTATACCCCATCTTGGTTATAAAGAGATGTCCTGGCCGTCATGGTGTAAATGAGTCTGGGCTGATTTGATTTGACACTTCAGATATGACGTCCAGCAGTACAGAACCATCAGCTAAATCAACATTAATATGGAGAGTATTTCCCACATCCTTGGCTTGTTTAAGGAAACCGTGGCATGTCTTGTTATCATCATGAGTCTTGTCATGCTTCCCAAGAGGATCATCAGACAAATAAACGTGTGAAAAAGTGCACAAACAATTCTATCATGAAGAGCCTTCCCATTATGATTGGTAAATATTAGCGATTGAGGGAAGAGCGAGGGTGGTGGGATCTATTGTCTGACATGATTCTTTGTGTGAAGGAGTCAATATCCCGAATTTCTTGGTTTGTCCAATCAACAACACCAACAGAATACGAAAGGGCGGCTACAGCATAAGTATTTGTGGCTTTGCCTTCATTGTGAGCATTCATCTCTGAACTCTAGATTTTCTTAAGTCTGCACTTCTGCCCGAAGTTTGTCTTTGATATGGGCATATTGGGATTTGTCTCTAACCTGCATCCATACGTATAGACCTGACCTTCCACAAGATGGTCAATAACTCTTCCCCCAAGTAAACTGACTGATTCGCCCTACTCCACATTGCGGGGCGGTCGGGTAGCCTAGTGGTTAAAGCGTTAGCTCGTCACGCCGAAACCCTGGGTTCGATTCCCGACATGGGTACAGTGTGTGAAGCCCATTTCTGGTGTCCCCCGCCGTGATATTGCTGAAATATTGCTAAAAGCGGCATAAAACCGAACTCAATCAATCAATCAAATCTTCCACCTTGCCACGTTTCAGACGAAGAATGTTTCTTTTGTCGAGTCCACATGTACATGACATGCCGATATCATTTGAAAATGACACAAGGAAACAGTAGTAGTAGTAGTAGTAGTAGTAGCAGCAGCAGCAGCAGCAGCAGCAGTAGTAGTAGTAGTAGTAGTAGTAGTAGTAGTAGGAGTAGTAGGAGTAGTAGTGTACTGTTATACATGAGGTATATTTCACTGCCAAAACCAGCTTTATTATATTACAATGGAGAAAGCATTTGTAATGATGGTAAATACTTTTTTTCTGTATGTATCATATAGTTTTGCGTCTTCTGTGTTACGTGCACAAAGAATGTCCCACACCCCAAGACGCAACAATCACGGAAATCTTGATGCACAATACGGAGCTGTGAATGAGTGAGGTTCCGCTCCACTGACCTGCAGAGCCCCATCCTTCAAAGGGGTATTCTGCTCCAGTGCCTAGTGCATCCTAATCTATCCTAAGCTAAGCCTAGATGTTTAATTTGAGTCTTGTATGATACTGAGACATTGACTCTGTGTGCTCCTGTTACTGTTGTCTTTTTTTTCTCCATACAACATACTAAAATTGGCGTTATCGGATAAAGAAATGTGGCTGGAACGACTGTCGGTGTGACCAGGGGTAGGCCTCCTCTATTAGCGTCTGCCTGATATATCAACTTGTATCAAAATAAGCGACAATGTCTCCGGGAGCCAAAATAAACGACAATGTCTCAGGGCGTGTGATATTTAATTCTACAACAAATGCCTCAATGAAATGCAGCGTCGTATGAAGGCTGGAGAATAAGTGCGAAGGTTCTTATAAGAAGAATGAGTGAATGAGTGTTTGTTTTAACGCCGCTGAGTAGTATTTTAAAATTAGTCTCTTCGAGTCAGTCTTAATGTGGGAGGTGTTTAACACCGCAATAATCCAGCTGTATGACGACGGCCTGTACATAATCGAGTCTGCACCAAACAATCCAGTTATTGATTTTGTTAACAACGATCCACGCCACCTGACTAGGAATGACGAATTGACATAAACAAATCGGTAGATTTCATCCAATATTAATAAATAAAATAAGGTCAGCACACGTTATTAGTATTCCTCTCTTATAACGCTCGGTATTAAGGGAATAAAACAAGGACTGGGTCCCGTTTCACAAAGCGATCGTCCAAAGATATCTGTCCAGATAGTTTAAACAGACTTCATTTCACCACGCTTACCCTTTTACGTTAAATCAAATGGAAAGTTGCGAAAGTGGTCGGATGCGTCACGCTCATGGGGACCCTCGATCTATTGATCGGTAGTCGTACGTTGTAAATGGATATAGCTCGATTATGTAATGTCTGTAGAAGCTCATGCATATAGAATGAAAACCCAATTTAATGCGTGTGACTGTCTTGTTTGGTTCTATATCTCTCGCTCTCTTGATATTGCATAAATCTGTCTTTTAGTTGCAAAATGAAAGATTTTTTTTATGAATGAAAAAAGTAGTCCCGGTGTGACAGAGGTCACGGTTATCCAATCACAACGAATAAAACGAGTTCAACCTTATAACGACCCACGTGTGTCGTACGGATTTAGTATCTTACCACCTGTATCTTCACCGCGTTGGTAATAATACATAAAATCCCTCAGGCCTAATGATATCAAACCTCAGTTTTATCTTTCTCAATCGACTCATGCACATATAGACATACCTCACGAATCGTTATCCTACATGTTTCAGAATTTACTTTCACGGAGAAGCACTATCATATGAACATGTACGAAAGCATTAGTTTAGATGCATCGTGCTGAATTAAATGCACAGGATTACATGTGGGTATATTGCCGAGGAGATGTGTTCAGAGCTACCGGTCATTCTGGTGAATAGGCCTCCAAGAAGCGACACACATATTCCACACGGCGTACAAGAGTTGCTTCCCTTCGTTTAAACCGAAACCAGGAAGAAGAGGTAACAGCACAGGTAAATATGTATATGTATTAGTCCCCCAAACTAAAGTTACACGTCAAATGGCTGCATACTTCGTGTACACAATAGATGGCAATTGGGGTCATCTATCCAACACGTTAACTTGGACTGTTAAGATACAGAGATGGTACAATATCTCTGTAAACGTAAGGATACACTCGAGTTGAGGACATGTTTCCGGCTCAAATACCTCAACAATGTATCATCCACGAATGCTGTCCGCCTGTCCTGCTGTCGATCAGTCGTAATAAACTGCTTCGATATGTCCCAGGAACGGGGAGGTCAGTAAAAAGATCTAAGATCAAGAAATGCCCACATCGAATATGAAGACCGGATTTCTCGGAGAAAATGAATCTTGAGTTATGTCCCTTTGACTAGCTGGGATCAAAGATATGTTGATTGTTGATTTTAAGTTTAAAAAAAGGTTTTATTTGGATCGTGACATTACGGGTGAGTCCGGGTCAAAATAGGTCCCCCGTAGGCCGACCTGAAGCTGAATTTTAACGATGTTTTAATGATCTTAGAATTAGTCTGATGTTGCTGTTAATATGTCATCCTGTGTCCTTGCATGGCTCATTACAAATACCCTTACACTGTTTAATGTACATGCAATTGTGTGTCAATTGTTTCATGTCAGTACTCAGGAGGCCACAGGCCTATAGTACAATATAAATACAATGTTGAGTAATTGACTAATGTTACGTGCATTCTTTGCAGCTACAAATATATGGAGATGTTTCTTAAAATAAGTGTATGAAAACTTTTTACGGAAAGAAATGTATGTATAATTGGATTTACAATGTATACATATGGTATTTTTTAATTCTAAACTGCGAATAGAATAGACATACAAGCAGAAAATGATAGTATTACTCATCTTTAACTCTATGATGTTTACACTGTGTACGTATTTCCTTCGTCCTTGGTAATTAATAGCGTATGTGATGAACATCTAAATTTTGATAGAGCTTGTCATAACCACATTTAAATAATTGTTGTCTTACAATTGTAATCGAAGTTCTTTTTCCATATAAAAATGGTTGCTGCCTGTCAGTGTAAACACGAAGTCACACGCACTAAGTATAATTGTGTATAGATCAAAGTCCTTTGTGGTAAAAATAGTGATATGAAGAATTATAAATAACCATTTATCATTTCTAGGTAATTTACCCACATTTTTGAAAACTACTACTTTAGTTTTTACTCCAGTTAACGGTTAGTTTCCACTCATAACTGTTAAAGTTGGTGCATTTGTAGAGATAGAAAATGGCAGAAATAATACTTTATACCAATGCAATATCATCAGCAAATAGTACAAGAATAATTTACAAAGTCTGGATGTAATTGTACACTATTTTCACCGTTATCATGAATGTGCAATGCAAGTTTACTGATGAAGAATGAAAATAGAAAGGGGCTTAAGATACAGCTTTGTCTGACACCAAGGTCAGTGTTAAATATTTCAGGCAATTTGTTTCTAACACAAGCCTTTAAATTTGCATATATCTTTCTCAACACTTCAGTCATTTTATAAATAAGATCATGTCCAAATAAAAAAATCCATAACGTGCTTCTATGGACAGAATGTAAACGTGATTGATGTAACTACACTTCACTCCGAGCAGAAGAATGTTGCATGTAAATTTGAACTTGGTGAGTTGTTCCATTTCAGCCTTATTGAACACATGAGATCAGCCATTGTTCTGTTTAGGTCTCATAATGGAAGTCCTGTGTAGAGACATACCTAGCCGTCATCGGTCCTTGAAGCTTGGCGATTGTCCGCATGGAGTTCCGATGGTCCAAAACCCGATTTCGGAGGTAGGAGCATTAATACGAGAAACAGTTTTTATCAATATGTATGTAAGCCATTTGTCTTGTCGTGAAGAAAGGGTATTCATTGTCAACATTTGTGAACTGTTGATCGGCAAGCTGTCCAACACCAATTACGAAGATAACATCTAATGCTTCATTTCTGGTGTCCATCGCCGTGATATTGCTATGAGAAGCGTGAAACAACACTCACTCACTCACTCACTCACTCACTCACTCACTCACTCACTCATGCAAACCACCATAAATACAAATGCATTATCAAATAATCAATGCATGATCACTTCCTCACTCACTCAGCCACTCACTAGTTCAGCCATTCTCCACTCAGCCATTCAGACTCCCACACTCACGCACTGACTCACTCATGCAAACCACCATAAATACAAATGCATCGTTTAGTTTCCGCTCACATTGTTTACTGTTTGAATGAAGTAGGAAGGGTTTGTCTGAAGGGTCGCAAAATGTATGATTTTTTCTCAACATGACTGGTCCAGTCCATCAGATTTTACGACTGTGTTCGCTGCTGTGTTGACTTGTATTTCTAGTTACCCACTTGCACACTACATGCGAATACACCCGTGATACAAATGAAAGTAACATATACACTGTAATTACCATCTCTAGTCTGTCTTGGTCACTATAGTTACCCAGTCTAGTCCGCTTGGTCACCATAATTAACCTATCTAGTCTTTCTTGGTCACTCTTAGTGACCCGATCTCGTTTGAATTGGTCGGGTACTCGTCGGGACCCCGGATAGAACAGGTGCCCAACAGTATACGGCTTGTCCTAAGAGACGACACATTTTGACCGGTAATATACGGGACGCTGTGATATAACTAGAATATTGTTGAGACTCAACCATGTCACACATCCACCACCCGACCCTTGTAAGACACTTATGACAAGCTCGTGGTACTGAAAACAGGGGGAATACAAGAATAAAACATGTGAATCTGAAAATGGTAATATTAATTTTCTTGAAAATAAACCAAAACAATTATTCCGTGAACAATTACGGAGGCGTTGAATGTTGTTGAATGTGTTTCAGGGTTTTGCTGAGAATCCACATCTGTATTGTGGTTACCAACGGGAGGCTGGTAGAGACACCAGCAGTCACTCACGGGATCTAGAGGCCTGGGGGAAGGTATCTGTCCTGTGGGGGCTGGTAGAGGCATCGGCGAGTTACAGTCAACACGACACGACGAACAGAAGCAACAACTCCCTCACTCTACAAAGCACTTGCAGGATACAGAAAGGCACCCTTTCACTCCAGACCCCCAAAGTTATGAAGGAAAGACGCTGTAGGAAAGACATCTGCAAAAAGGCAACATACTTTGTCAATACTATTTGTATCGGGGGTGAAGCATCTCTTACAGTCCAACTGGATTCCGAGCAGGATTCGAGCAGGTCTTCTTCAACATCAGAAGGCGGGGTGAAGGTGTTCGGCTCATCCTTCAGCAAGGACATTGGTTCGTACGCCAATTCCTATTCCGGAACATGTTCTGTGTATGCCGAATACAGTTCTCCGTTTTATGAGGACAAATGGGTGTTGAAACGTACCTTGACGTCGGAGTCAGACATTGACGAGTGTGTTGAGGAGGTTGAGAAGAAGGAACAAGAGATGGAGCAGTTTGCTGAGAAGGTTCGCAATACGGACATCAATGCCCTGCACTACAAGTATGTGTTCATGTCATCTGCACCTCCCTCGTCGGGAGTTAACATGATCGACACGAGGGTGAAGGTGGGGAGTATTCTGAAGGAGCTGGGCAATGTGCTGGAGGAGGCTGGGCCAGATCCAAGCAACAACGAGATGAAGACTTTCGTGAATGATGTGAGGGTCATGGTGACAAGCCTTAAAAACATGATGAAGTCGGGTGATATTGATATGGAGACGGTGAACACTGTATATGGACAACATGCGCCTAACTATTACAGAAGGAAGCTGAAACGGCTGCAGTCTGCCTAAAGACATCCTTGGGTCCATCTCAGCGATACTTACATACTTTAGCATAGATTTACGATAGTTGCAGTACTAATAGTGTTTACTAACTCTAAACAAATATCGGCACTGTAATTAACCAATGACCTTACACCTGTCCTTACACATACATACTAACATATATGCCGGTTCTCTCGAAACGTTTTGTGAGTTTCGTTTAACTTCGAGACAAGGCATGTTAAACCTATTGTATCGTTTACGTACCTGGTCGACTCAAAGATTATGTATATGTCGGGAAGCGTTTCTTGTAATGTGTTTTTGAATGTCTCGAAGTTTCAGTTCTCGGAATGCGTTCCGTTCAACAAGGTAAGGATGCACCTGATTGTCATCGTTGCTTTGTCAGCACAATACACGGGCTCGTGGCTTTCACCAAGTTGTAAACTTGGATGACTTTCGATGTGATGAGCCTTACATTTACAACACGGATAGCTATGAAACAATGATCGCACAATTATGAGATAATACAAAATAGGATTATTAGAATATAGGATCAGTAGAATGCATCACAACGATCATTGGGATGAACTATTATATCATGTTTCTCGATCAGGTCAGGTAATATCATGGTACTTTTTTAAACTTATACAATTTCCAATGTTCTCTGGAATCGCACGGCAAAGTCGACATCAAAGGACAAAAGAAACAGGAATGTTGGTCCAAACTTCGAATTTCTAACAGCGTTTGATCAACTACCCGGGAATTGAAATTGAAAGCGCAAGGTGGTCCATTTGAACATGTGTCCACCCATCACCCACTCGGCATTGGAAGGGTTCATGTTACGTATTTACGACGTCAACACGTTCATGGTATCGTGTGTGGAAGGAAACTATAAAATGTCAACCCATGAGAATCATCTGCCGATTCAGTTGTAAAAGGTGTAAAAGACGAAATAGTGTCCTTCACTACCGATGGCCACTCACACACGAAAAGGGGGCGTTATGACAATATTGGTTTTCGTTCCCTGGATGGCGATGCCTGAATGTGTTGATGTGTTTCATTATGCAACACAAGACACACACTGGCGAATGTGTAATAGAAAGATAAGCTGAGCTGCGTCTGCCGCCATTGTTCATTAGCTGTGTTCTTGAAACAGCAACATGGATATGTTTATAAAGGGAGACAACTCTACCGGGAATAACGAGCATGATTTGTGATGACATTTAGCACCATTTTACTGGCGCTGTATTCAGATACATTACACGTGACAGTTTTTGTTTAAAAATCGTTGTTATTGTTGGTTTGTGGTTCGATCGCAGGAGACTTCCTTTCGGTGAAACTTTGTGCATCAAATGCGTCATTTCTAGGCAGCCCACAGTTACTGCCATGTTTCAATCCTCTCTGTGTGTTGTGTGTCTGTGTGTGTGCCTGTGTGTACGTGTGTCTGTGAGTGTTGTATGTCTGTGTGTGTACGTGTGTCTCTGTGTGTGTACGTGTGTGTGTGTGTGTGTACGTGGGTGTGTGTGTCTGTGTGTGTATACGTATGTGTGCGTCTGTGTACATGTGTGTGTGTCTGTGTGTGTGTCTGTGCACGTGTGTGTGTGCCTGTGTGTACGTGTGTCTGTGTGTGTGCCTGTGTGTACGTGTGTCTGTGTGTGTGTGGCTGTGTGTGTGTGTGTGTGTCTGTGTGTGTCTGTGTCTGTGTCTGTGAGTGTGTCTCCCGCCATTGCTGCATATTTCCATCATCATTAGTAGGTGCTAAAGTCTTACCATGTACATATAAAAAATAACTGTCATCAATCTCTGAGTTATATTTCGACTTTATAGCACCCTCTTCGTTTTGGGCGGTTGACCGTATTGATGTTAGGGACCCACAGACTTTCACAAATTCACAACATAAATTTTTTTTCAGAATTCCAATTCTTTCGATCAATTTCTGGTCCAATTGCACAAGTTATGGCTAAATGTCTTGTCACTTCTATTGCCCACATGTTGACAAGGAAAGAACATCTGATCTGTGACTTTCTTCTGTGATCTTGTAGCCATTATAACGGGATCTGGCTTCCCAGGTTTGTCTTGACAAGTGACAATTACAAGACTCATCCATCTGAGAGACCACACTGTCCATATATTCATAATTATTTTGCGTTTTAGTTGTACAGATGTATATAGTACATTATTTTTACTTTGAATACGTACTTGTGTAAAGGCAATTCTATTAATGTGAAAATAGTTGCTATTGATGACACACATTTCATGGACTTTTGAAGCTTGACTATATATTACCTGTTGATATGTAGATGGGTGTGAACGAATAGGTAATACAGTCTTATCTTTTCGTTGTTTGTTGATTTGTAATTAGTTCATCAGTTAGATCTTGTGTCTCACAAAAGTTTTGTTAAACCTGTTTTCTGAGTAAAAAAAATAATAATCTTTCTCGTGACAATCATGTTTCCAAAGTGACGGGGAGAATTTATGGGTTTGTTTTATTACAAATATGTAAAATAAACGTAGTTCCATTGTACGTTGTCAGACACACCCGAGTCCAATGCGGCTCCCTTGTACACGAACGGCATCGAATGTCCAAAAATTTGGAATCTGCTGCAACAATGAGATTTAACTTGAAAAGTCGGATTGTAACAGTTCTTTAAAACATGTTTTAAATATGTTGGTCTCGGGGCACATTTGTATTCGAAGTATATTTCAAAAAGCCTTCTGTTGAATTGTATTATACACATCGTGTGATCAAACTCGGTTCCTTACCTGTTAACGTGATATGTCTATACTTCGTTTGGTATACTTGTCACTTTCATGCATGTTACTGGACATGAATAATAACAGTTATATATATGTATTTATCTGATATTATTTAATCGTTATCCTACTCAAGTGGAATAATAATATTTTTACTCTAGTTAAATACCTTTTGTTATGCCGGAGCTAATTTCAGCCTGCCTTAATGACACTGTGGTCTTCGCACAAATAACATTTGTTCCATTGTAAAAACAATTATTTTATTTTAATATGTAACGGTTTGGAAACCGTTATGGGACAGCTGTTAATGTTGTTTCCGCTCTTTGTCCATTGTTGATGTATATTTTGAAAACGCAGTAGGAAGGAAATGTTTCTAGGTTGTGAACAACCGGATTTATGAGGCATCTTAACACAGTGTACTGATCCCTACTTCTGACACTCCGATTAACACATGCGTACGCCAACGCAATTTTGTGGAGAGAGCTTGTTTTAATGTGTGTAGTTTTAGTGCTTTTAATGACGCGCTGAAAGTGATTTTTATTATGTCAAGCCCAGATATTATACAGTTCACATGCAAAACGTGCATGTTTTTTTAGAAGCAAAAGTCTTACTGTATAACATTGATATTATTTTCAGTATAATTTCTGTGTACTTTTATATAAGCATAATATAATGTAATGAAATGACTTTTACTTATTAATAAAGTTAATATGCTAATGCCTATACATTTTATGATTCAAATGTGTTGTATGATCTTGTATGTGTATTATTTTAATACTTAATAGACTCTCGTAACTCTTAACGAATGGCTTACTTTTAATGATGTACTTTTGTACGTAACCATTTAATGTGAGGTGAGACTTTAATAAACAATCTGCCTGTCGGTCTGTCCATTATCAATGAGGAACATGGCATATATTTGCCAATGTACAAAACCAGGACTGACGTCAAAAATGCAATTTATTAATTTTCATTGTCGCAACGAGCCTATAGCTATGTGTATCATCAGTATCATGTCCGTTACTGTTCGACAAATGTGACTTAATTAGATGCAAAGAAATTAATTTGACCAACTCGAAACAGTCAGTGAAGCATATTGGTGCTACATCTTGTTAAAATCCGGCGTTGGCCGAGGGACTATTGAAACATATCGAGTCATGATCATCCGTAGTTCGATACAAGACAGAGCTACACGAATACCCCCCCCCCCCCCCCCCCCCCCAACACACACACACACACACACACACACACACACCATCACCACCAACCATTCAAATTCTATCACATGCGGCCAAGTCAAGTCAGGTAAATGTTTATTTGAACCATGTACATAATTACTCGTGATGAAAGGCAGACACATACATACAGGTATGTTAGACAGCAATCTTTATTGTACACAGTAGTGAGAATAATAGAAATAATTTAGATTATTTTTGGTAATACTTTTAATCTTCTAGGGCATGACACATCTATGTTTAATATAACGCTTGTCCAAATTACCTCTTTTCTCAAATAACATGTCCATGAGACCTAAAATAAGGACTTTTCAAAGATAGTGAAATTCATCTGCAATACATGGAGAGCACTTTGGCCATATGTAGCCAAGAGCTGTGTGCCTAAACTGGTGAAATTATTATGAGGAAAATGTTGAGAAATAGTATGGAAATACCAGACAGATAAGTCCCTCTGTTGAGAGTTAACTTATCTTTATTCTTAATAATATTTTGTTATTTATTTAGTAATGAAATACTGTAATTATCTGAAAATATTCAATCTGTATCCCACTCAGGTGGAATAACATGCGTTAAACGAGTGAAATAACGCTTTATGCCTGAACTACTTTCAATCTGCCTCAATGACTCTGTGGTCTTCGCAGAAATAACATATGTTTTATTGTAAAAAATATGTTTGCCTCATCTTGTGTCCTGACACAATTGACATTTTCACTAGTGGCTGCGCCACATATGTAAACATGACCCTTGTCGGGAGGTCACACTATGCGATAATCATGTTATTTGACACGAAAATGCAAACAGCCTATATTTAATGTAAGTGTACATCGGCACACCTAACTCAAATGCATAATAAATCATTACAAATAAAAAAGATAAAAAATAAAACTTACATCAGCCATTCAGAAGAAAAAAAATATTTGTAGAAATCCGGGTAACACCCTTTGATGTGACACTGCAGATGAGGACAGCATTAATGCAATGATGAAATAGCGTGACAAGGTAGGGCATTTCGGGACATGAGCGTTATCTCCCTTACACCGACACCGCTCATATTGATTGGTTAAACCAAGTCCAACTGTGACGATAAAATTAGAATAAATTGTTTAATCTGATCATATAGGCTTTTCGTCTTTTTTGTTGTTTATTTACATTCATATATATGTCTAAAAGTGACGACGCTGTCTAAATATATTTTTATGTATCCTTTTCGCGCGCCCCGCCAGGTCCGTACTCGGAATGTGAAAACAGTTTGTGATAGAAGATCACAGGATAATTGTGAATGCAGTTGACCCCCGTTAATCCGGATACCCCGCCTTCGGGGCGATTACTGTTAAGAGCATCCACACATATACTGCAACACAACCACATAGTGATCCGTCATATGAAACATGTACTGTATAGTCATTTGAATTGTTACAATAATATTGCATAAACTTGTAAATACAATTTTTGTAGAATTAAATATATTAATAAATATTACAGGGAGACTCCGAGTGATGATGAATCCGAATTGTTTCACCTTCTAAAGGGCAACCCTAAATTACAAGCCAGATGCATTGCTACGCTTATACAGTAAAGTACGGTTATTACGAACTCAAAGGGACCACTAACTTTAGTTGGTTATAACCGTAGTTCGTTATAAGCATATATACAGTATAACAATAGCAAATAGTCGGGACAAAAAAATCAGTTCGTTATATCCGTCAGTTCGTTATAAGCGTATTCGTTATAAACGTACTTTACTGTAAAGGAAAATATTATTGAAATTTTGTTCACCCTCCATGCTCTCTGCGACTCGTATTTTTAGACGAGTGGCTCTGCCCAGATCTTCCAATCAAAGTACCTATGTTCTGTTCTTGTGATCACCACGATTCGTTAACCCGGACAGCATAACGACCGGATTAGGGAGGTTTAATTACACCTTCAATAATGACCATACATTTATATCATGAGCTATCCAAAATTATGTATTTCATCGGCTCAGGTTTTGATTACATATTTCATTTTAGGTAATCGTCAACAAGAAATTTTTAAATGAAATTTTTGTTACTGAATTTGTAGTGCTCAAATTGACTTTCATATAGTTTAAGTATGCATATCAATATATGATATCAAGTAGATACACGCTGTGGGAATTATTCAAGTACCATAACATCATCCTGATGTGGACCGGTACATGGTGCGCCGTCTCTACCCACAGTAAATCAGAGCTGGTCGTCCGTCACACACATGTGCACATAGAGGTTTACAACCAGATATTCATATATCTACAGGCTATTGTAATTTACATTTTAAACTTAAAATTTAACATGTAAAATTCAAAACTTCTTCAACTTCCTTTATCGGAGAAGAACGAAGCGTATCGTTTGAAGCAGTAAAAACACTTTTTTTCTTCACATCTTTCACAGTGCATGACATCATGCAGACGTTTTTACCTTTGACTGTTCGTATGCATACGCTTTCATTTTATCTACTGACTTTTATGCTTGAATTTTGTTGAATAGTTCCAGCTGGGCTAATGCATTTTATGGTTGTGTGTATGAGGTTATTGTGACCTACATTGACTGTGGGGAATTTTTTGTGATTTCGCAATAAAATATTTGCGAAGTCATCCTCAAATCCAAGAAGCACGATGTAACTTGATGCAGAAGGGCGTTTACATTTATTTCTCATCTAATGAAAGTCGAGCATGAGGTTTTACACGTGGATACTAAACTGATGAAGACTTAGTTGTAATTTTGCAAATTTAAATTATCACTGCTTCGGAAAATATCTGTATGCATGGGCGTACTTATTTGCAAATTAGGAATGATGTTTTTTAACTAATCTGCCGGTCTAAAAAAAAGTCACGTCACCTGTTTTGGGATACTCATTGATATGATGCATGTAATATCGCCTATGATACCCGTTCTAGATACATCCCCATCGAATAACCATATCTTATTTGTTTTAGTTTTATTTTGACCGCCAGTTTATATACGGATGATAATGCTTATTCATATTCTTCAGGGGTAGAATAGGTCTTCAGCAACCCATGCTTGCCGTAAAAAGCGACTATGCTTGTCGTAAGAGGCGACTAACGGGATTGGGTGGTCAGGCTCGCTGACTTGGTTCATGCATGTCACCGTCTCCCAATTGCGTGGACCGATGCTCATGATGTCAATCACTGGATTGTCTGGTCCAGACTCGATTATTTACAGATCGCTGTCATATAGCTGGAATATTGCTGAATGCGGCGTTAAACAACAAACAAACAAACAAACAAACAAATCATATTCTTTTTTTTACAACGCGAATGCGTTAGTGGCAAGTCTGACGGGGACCCTATTGTTGCTAGGGACAACAGAATGTCTGTGTTGTAGACCACGCTGGGACGAGTCCAAATTAACTACCCGGGTACCCAATCCCCTATTACCCGACCCTGGTACCCACTGCAGGTCTCAAGAGTTGGGAACAAAATGTCTGATTGGGAATTGTTTTATTGCAGCCCTGAACAAAACTATTTAGATTCATGTATCAAACGATCAATACACTGAAGTTGACTGAAGTTTTATCTTTACTGAAACATATACCAGCCAAAAGGAATGTGTGCATCGTCAGAAAGAAATGCGAACATTAGCGACTTGTGGTGTAACCAATGAGCTATAGTGAGTTTTTATCATCAAACAATATATCACGTGACTAACCACGGGTCCGGGTAGTCCTGTGGGTACCCGGGTCCTACTCAGGACCTACCCGACCCGAGTACCCGAGTTACCCGTCCCAGCCCTACGGTGTGGGGTCCGAGTGAAACATCATGAATACACCCAACTAAGATATCCCCCAAAGTCATTCAGGTATGCCTATGTTCATTCGACCTTTAGACTTGTACTGTGTTATTTTGGTTGTTGCAGTTTCAATTTGTAATGCATCAGTAATGCAAATTATGTCGATACAATTCCTTCCTCTGAGGTGTACCGTATGTCCACGAGTTTCTTCTGGTGAACAGCTGACTTGTCATTGCATGTGTTTGTGACGGGTGCCACCGGTGGGGCAGGATACGCTCACCGTTTCGCTAACACCTGGTGTCGTCACTATTTGATACTTCCCCTTAAGCTTGTGGATTAACTTCCAGGTTTCAGGAGCTATTCCGGTGGATTTGACATCGCACTCGGAGAAGTGTAGCAAAGTATATCCCCAAATATACCATTTGCATATGGTGTTGCAATTCACAGGGTCACCTCTCGTGAAAGAAAAGGACAAATAAATAATATTTTCAATTTCATTTTATTTCATGTATTTTGTAGTTATTTTGTATAAAACAGAAATAAAAAACATGGAGATTTATGTACACACAAAAGCCCGTTCAGGAGTATCTCCTATTAAACGGGACACACGATAGAATGTTCAAAGCACCATTTGGGTTAACGTTGGTTTCGCCTAAACATATTTACACATACACTTTGTGCGACTACAACAATAATAAGTTAAGCCTCTTTGAGACAGTTTGTTTAACAGCTGTGAAATGTAATGACATGTTTCGATATATGAGAGAATTTGGGTATCTGTTGCCTGCTCATGCTGTACACGCTTGGGTGTTTCGAACTACAGAATGAAATACCTAAACATTAAACCTTTTCAGATACCATGAAGATTCACAGATCTACATGCAATGGGATCTGGTCAATTTTGAACGAACAAAATTGAGTTGCTGCCTTCTGGATTTGGCTCAGGTAAATCTGGCGCCTCTGTGACGTGATTGTTACGTATAGTATACGTCATATTGTTGTGCGGTAACAATGGGCCACCTGACCTGTATCACAGCCAATGAGCGCTCCAATATCTGATCGCATCACCCTCTCGACAACAAAAATGTCCTGACTTAACGGTGACCAATCCAAAAGCGCTTCTCCTAGGGAGGAGATCACGTGATCACAAACAGCGAATCAACGCTGTTGTTACAAGTACGGTGCGCAGAACTGATAAACAAGTCGTTTTGAGTGCTCTGTTTTCCTGATGATCCCTTTCTTGTAGTACTGACGGATGGACCGACTCAGCTTGTCGTAATTCATTAGCGGCCTGTTCTTCCTGCGGCCCCATTCTTTTGCCACTCTGCCTGAGTCCTCAATTTTGAATATTCCTTTCGACCTGTCCACCCATTTAATACAACCGCTGAATGACTGGGGTTTCAATAACAAGTCTTTCAAAAACTGCCACAGATGAATTGTTTGCTTATGTTGTGTTGGTAACGGTGCTGTTTTTTCACGTGGCTCTTCTTTCTCATGCGTTGAAGCTCCTGGAAAAATAGAATGAATATTATGAGCATGAGTTCACACAAATTCAATCGATAATCAAAGTAGGTGGTGACATGAAGCTTATACCTTTATTTATCATTAACAATGGGGGTGCTAACTTTTGGCTTGGCGTTTTGAACCAATGTGTAAATCGAACCCGGTTTGATGGAGCCAACGTCTTACGCAGCATGCTGCGCTAATGCTCAACAGATTAAGTAATAAGTCGTCGTCTTGCGTGATAATTTCGATGGTGTTGCGAATTCCTTGTCCGATCAGTTTCACGGCTCAACAAAAGGTGATTCTCTTTGGTTTAATATTTTAAATCTACCGCCATTATTCTCACGGCATGCGCAAAACATGTAGGTCACTCCCACAATACTGAAGTGCGGATATTCACTGTGTTTGTGGTCTTTGTGGTGAAATTTGATATCTGATCTCACTCACGTGAAATTGTAAGTTTCTCTGCATAACTGTGGATACAGGGAGAAACTTTTGCGCCAATGCAGTTTATTATCCAGGATATTATACGAAGCAGGTAGCAAGTCATAGCTTGCATTTTAAAGCCGCGACATTTACAGACGGAAAAGTGAAGTAGGATGTCAACTTACGGTATGTAAATAATTCGTCAAGCATTTGGCTGCGGGGTGGCGAGCTTGGGTTGCTGTCGAGGCTTGACGACCCCGGGGACCCAGGCGACGAGCTGCTGGGGGAGGCGCAGAAGCGGCTCCCCTCCAGAGTCATAGGTGAGTCGGCCAGGCTGTCTGACTGGAAACGGCCTGTCTCGCTTATCTCCTCCATTTTAAAATCTGCAAAATAAAGAATGGGGTTATTGAGGTTGGGACGGTTTATGGGTAAATAAAACAACAGATTTAATTATCGCTATATCGTTGTGAGATTATTTTATTCGCGAATTTGTTAATACTGTGTAATATTGTGACATTGGTTTATTCGTGACATTACATGGACTTCAGCTGTGTGTCAGGTGACATCGTCCCCGTTACAGGCAAGCTGTTCTGTCATTGTTTTGCGTCGGTGACACAACAATCTCGCACTCGCCTGCACTTACAATAGATTAAAACTGCCTGGACAAGCTTTACGCTTGGTTAGTCAACCGGATCGTGATAGCTACTGCCGTTTATCTATTCATATCTTCAAACCAACAATCTTTTAGAAGGCTTTGTTATACGTGAAGTTTATTACCCACGGGGATTGTTATTTTCATGGAGAAAAAATATTTGATGTCGGACATTCTTGAGCTCGGAGATCGGTGATGATTGGCTGAGAACGAGCCAAGCAAAGTGAGTGACATTTTGTAGGTAATGCCCTTTCTGGATTAAAGGTCAAGGCTAGACAATACGTCACTTATCCTGTTGTTACACGTAAAGGTATTCGAATGTAAACAAACCCTCACTTTTGAGGGGCATGGGAGCGGCGCGCGCGCGGTCCACCTCCACTGCCAAGTCGTAAACAATCGACTTACGCGTCACGTTTCAGATAAGAATGGTATTTCTCAGAGGCAAATGCAGCTCAAAACAAGATAGCATCAGGTCACATATACACATATACAGTGTTTTTCATTCTTCCAATAGAAAGTATAGGTCATGTTGACACGGTTGTGAAATGTACATGCCCGCGGCCAGAAATCTACACATGTATATAGCCATCAGTCATGATTTCACTGATGCATATCCACCCAAAAGCCCCTACTGACATGTCTTTGTGCTCTCCTATTGCGTGCTGCCGGCCCCTGGTGATGTTTATGAGCGATTAATGGCAGTAAAAAATCCAGTAATTACATGATTTAACATTCAAAACAGGGAAATGACTGTGAATATCGCAATTTCTTTCAACTGAAGGTTAATGTAATACGAATAAGTATTATTTATCTGTAAGTTTCAGTGATGCGTTTCTGAAGTCACGACATTTTCCTTTGATGTGAGGATATTAGCGTGTTCTCATCCAAACACACACACACACACACACACACATATATATATATATATATATATATATATATATATATTTATATATATATATATACACACACACAGGATAAGTGACGTATATATATGATAGCCTCTCCCCACCTCCCCCCCCCCCCCCCCCCCCCCCCCGTCTCTCTCTCTCTCTCTCTCCCTCTCTCCCTCTCTCTCTTGCTTACAATTCTTCCATATTTCCAACTGGGCGTGGAGATGAGGCCCTCCAACTGGGGATCGCCATTCGAAGTCAGCTTGCGAGAGGAGACAGAGACATTTGCCGTTCATGTCAAAGAGCTCGAGCGTCACGTCAGGGATGGACATCTTCCTACACATGTGTGTGATCCATTTCCCGACATCCTCGGTCGACCATCGAGTAGGATCTGTTGAAATAAATTAAACTATTGACAAAAAATAATAACATTAACAAATAACGAACCAAATCGCAGTCTTCCCAAATGCGATACATTCTTCTGTGATGTCCCCCTTGGCGAGACCGTGCAGAGGATTAAACTATTTAAAAAAATAATAAAATAATAACTTTAACAAAATCTCCCCCAAACGAAATAGCAGTCTAGCAAACGCGAAGCACGGCCAGGCTTTGATAATATAAAAAACAGCCCCCCACCCTCTCCGTATATAGTGTCTTTTTTATACGATATGAGCAAAAGGAGAAGTCCTATAATCTCCCTCTTAAAACATTACACACCCATACTGTTGTTAGTTTATCATCTCAGTGCATACCTTTACATATTTGTAGTACGACACACTCTTCTTTGATGTCTCTCGTGGCCAGAACGTAGAGCACATCCAGGCCATCGTCCATAGCGATGTCTGGGTTGGGAGTCGGGTAGAAAACCTGCTGCACTTGTTTGTCATCACTGACATTTTGGTCATACATGGTGATGTCACTTCGGTCATACATGTCCAAGTCAATGAGATGAGTGGGACTCCCTCCCTCGTTCAGTTGCTGGTCGGGTACCTCTGTAACTGATGTGCAGCCGGCGAGGGGAGCAGGGAACGCCGCAGAGGAGAAAGTATCTAAAATGTTCCCGGTGAAGTCGTACTGGTACACCTCTGGCTCTGTCTTCACAGACACCCGGGTGAAGTCTTCGGAGAACACCGTGTTGGTTTGAGGAACCTAAAACAAATTTTGCATTTTTTAAAGTCTGAAAACAATATTTTAATATTTATTTAATTGTTTGCTTATAACATAAGAAGCTTTTCTCTTGTTTTAACAAACGTACCTGTTGGTCAGAGTGCAGCATATCCTCTGATTTGATGGGTGTTTGACACAAGTCGTGATAGAGCTTGATGACGTGGAAATCTAGAATATAATCAAATATAATTCAATTTTTGTTCATCCTCATTAACAAGAGAGACATTTAAGAAGTCTACATAAACATATAACAATTTTAACAGTTATAAAGATGTTAACTACAACGGGCTTATTAAGATAGATATAAACAAAGTGTCATACCATGCAAGAGTAACAATACCAGCGCAAGTACAAATATAATATATAACATGTTGAAAGTTGAATTATGACAACAACAAGAACTTATTCAAGAAGATATCTACATTTCATACCATGCAAAATTAATAATAACAACACAAGTTAATAACTTAAAATATCAAACTTCATTTAGAAAAGTGTCTCTTAAGTGGCGCACGTGCAAAATAAAACTTTTCAATACGATAGATAAAGTAAAAGTAAAAGTAAAATAGCGAAATGAAAAGCAGATCGCTTAAGCAATGTTGACACCTCAGTGTTATAAGATAGACAAGGTTTCAAAACCCACCGGTCGGCATCGGTGCTGTTTGTATATCCAACGGTAGAGTAAGAATGAATTAACACGCCGAGGACTTATAGCTATATACAGGTTTCAGTCGTTGTCTTCTCGGAATTATTTGTCCTCATAACCAGAAGGGAAATGAGGTCAGCCAATCACATAGCTAGAAATTGACCCCAAGCGACATATATGGAGAGCTATAAATAAATGAAGGGGGAAGCACCTACGAGCTCATTCTGGTTGGTCGGTGGCTGCACGTACGTCATAGCTGACTCATTGGTAAATAAGACATCAGCTCAGTCTGGTCGAGCTGTGTCAAAGAGTGCACTAGAGAAGCGTTATAAAAGACCCACTAGACAACATACGCCCTGTTTACAGCGATTAATAACGCGCAGGCAGATAACAACATGCTGTGTCGTTAACACGAAGTTAATAAAGCTGTTATTTGTCATCGCGGATATCAGAATCAATGAAATTCAACTTGCTGCTTCATGTATAATTGATAGAATCGATAAATCTGCTACTGTAGCGTGTCAGTGATATATATCCAAATTCTGGTCCGCCAATGAGATTTTCCCAATTTATATAATTACTTTTCACCTAACAACCAGATGTTGAACTAACACAACCACGTGTTTCGCTTGCTTGGCGGGCGATTTGTCAATATAATGGACACCTCGTCCGTTCTGTGCCGTATAAGTCAGCAGAATCATCAGCTGTTGTTTCGAAGGCGCATAAACAAATATTCATGTGGCGAATTCCCGCGATGGAACACCTGTCTAAAGATGAACACTGTTCCTAATCAAAATTTATGGCACATCATAATGTTATGACAATGTCTATTGTTTCAGGTAGGAATATAACTTTTAAAAAAAGCAACAAATATATATTTTAAAAACCAAAACATACAGTGCCAACATGAAGGATAAAAATGGCAAAATATAAATAATTATCACTGACACGAATAGATACGATCATCATTATTAGACTTTCCTCATTGATGCATTAGATAATCATGTATTATATTACACGGAATATCCTCTATGTTTTTAGCCACAGGAAAAACTCTTATTTTAAGCTTATTGTTTTCCCCTGTCAAATTATTCATCATGTGACTTCACATTTGTTCAATGATTTTAAATTTTCCGTGTAAAATATAATTTTGTCTTGAAAGTGCACCAGAAGCGCCATATGCATATACAGACAATCATTCCAGATCTTCAAGATTATATCGTACAATAAAATACTAGTTCACGATAACCGTGAATCTAAAGGTCCGAAAAGGGCATGTAAAGCATGAACAACAAAAACCCCGAGAATAGTCCATTGGCAATAAAGCTTTTCGTGTGAGTATGGTTTCACGCCGCCTTTAGAGTTATTCCAGTAATCACAGCGGGGACACCAGAAATGGTCTTCACACATTATACCCATGTGGATAATCGAACCCGGGTCTTCGGTGTGACGAGCGAACACTTTAACCACTAGGCTACCAGACCGCCCCCGATAATGCTTTATGATACGGGATTGATACATGAGGTTGCTTATGCTGTGACGTCTTATTCAACCACTTATCAACAGAACATGATCTAAAAACATCGGATTATTTATACACGGAATATATGCTTAAAGCCGTATTCCATCACCAGTTAATCTACAATGCTCTTTTTTTATTTTAGCAGTCGCCAAATGTTTTGAATAATCTCACGCTAGTATCTTTAACCAATGTGTATCTTGTTCGAATTACTACAGTTGTTCGATTGCTACATGTTCACATCTGTAACACACAGTCGACGATGAATCAATAACACGCAGAGGCTTGTTATATTGGGGTTACAAACTTAAAACAAGCATAATCATTTTTTTTCTGATAACGTGTTTTCTTTAAGTGACATCAGGACTGAAATGAAAAGTTTCCCATAACTTTTGACATGCCGATAGGGCTTTTTAGGATTTGAAATAAGCATGATATCAACATATGTTAATAAATAATTCAGTTTTATTTTGTATTTTTCTTCATATTTGTTCAAATCCAATTTCTGATTTAAAGACTTCAATCTAAAGTACATGTTTTTTCCCACAGATACACATGTTTGAATATGGAAATATACATTTGTATAAATTTCATTTGCTAATTGTATGATTAGAACGTAGGGCACAATACTCCGGTTTTGCCAAAAATATTGTTCCCTTATGATAATAATAACATTTGAAATATTAACTCACAGGACGTTCTGATTATTGATAAGGGAGTGAGTGAAGGTTGGTTATAGTCACCGTACATGACAGGCAGTATATACAATATTGTTCGCACTTGAGGTTAGACCTTGTTTCCACGATACTGAACTATTTAAGATATTTAAAATGAAGTACTTATACAAACAGATTTATTTTTAAATGCAGGGCAAGACCCTTTGTCACATTATATGTTGCTTGGGTTGATTATATTTCATTGGGGGAGGTAAAATATGAATATAACCTCGAATGATAAGTTGTATTCTTTCTGTATGCTGAAACGGAAGTGCTAATCACCGTCATCATGGTTACATTTATTGTATTTCGTACTGGTAGTGTACACTGGTATAACTTCCACAACATCTGCTGTTGCTACTACTACCACTACCACTACCACTACTACTACTTCTGCGATCGTGCAGCCCTCTTTAAACTGAAAAAGGAACATTTTAATTGCGCGTGAAGGATACATGATTAAGGACAACATCTACTACTACTACTACTACTACTACTACTACTACTACTACTACTACTGCGATCGTGCAGCCCTCTTTAAACTGACAAAGGAACATTTTAAGTCCACGTGAAGGAAACATGATTGAAGGACTACAAACAGGATTCTGGGGACCCTTGCTGTTTTGCAGTGCTTGACGTTAAATCGTGAGTCCTTTAACACATATATAAAATCTTGTAATAAATGGCTTGTGTGCTTCTCGGGATAGTTGCGATTGCACCATAGCTTGTTTGTGTCAGCTTATTCTTAGAAAACAGTATAATAATAAATTAATGACATTTAAAAAATGAATATTAAGCATAACATCATAACAAATATCAAAGCAATATTTACAACACCATCAATGAGGCGTTTCTTAGATATGGACAGGCACGTGTATATTAATTGAAAAGGTATATAATAATAAACACTATAATATAATGTTGTCAGTGCATCAGTGTTGTGCTACCATCTGTTTAATACCTGTTATGAATATACCCAAAATACACAAATAAAATTTCCGTAAAAAGACAATATTAAAGTGAACGAAATGTCCTTGAGTGTCTTTGTCGATTTTACTTCTTTAAATATCTAGGTGTATAATTAATCTTCATCCGGATCTAAAGCGGCAGCTGCTTCCTTTTAAGCGGACGATGAAACAAATCCTGTTTTTCTCCAAACTCAGAACAACTTCCTAAATTAATTTATCGTTCATCCAAATGGCAAAACACAACCCTTCTTTCGCATGTACAAACATACTCCTTCTACAAAGATTATGCCAAACGAATTTAAGCTAAAATACATTGCATGTGATTCGTGAAAACACATGAGCCTAATACTAAACAAAAATGGTGATGGATATTGAATATTTTAGGGGGATATCATTATTGTTGTGAGGTTTCTTTACATATGTATTGTATATAAACTTCTTCATGATCCCTAATTGTTTTGTTCAGTATACAGTGTATATAAACATTTTTGAGCAGTGGTTGTCTGAGAAGGATTTATTGTCATATTTCTGGCAGTTTCTATATTATGGTTATACATGCTTTTATCTCGTGAAATAATCAGACTTTGTTAAATGAAATTCGCTTCATGATATAGCTGGAATCGCACAGTGGACTCTGCTTTTGGCAGAGATTTCTTATGAATATGGAAAGGGTTTTGTCAGTTTTACTTACCCTCGTCATTCCGGACGTAAATTGGATTTACGAGGTTTAAATATTTTTCGTATGCTCCCCTTCCTGTTGATTTGTTTCTGTATGCATGCGAATCGCAATGAAATGACAAAATCAAAACAAGGGAATTTGTTCAAGACGTTAAATTTAAGTTAAGGTACACAGATGATCTGATATCGTTCAATAGTGATCAAACAGCCAGTTTCCTTACTCTGATTTACCCACCTCTACTGAAATAAAAAGATACAAGTGAAACCGCCTCATCTGTTTCATATTTAGATTTATGTAAACGATTCAATTCAGAGTGACCCAACACTATCGACAAGACTGTATGACAAGGGGGCTGTCTTCAACTTTCCAACAGTCAAATTATTCTTTATGTCGATCAATATTCCAGCAGCTCTAGTCTATGGAGTCTATATTTTACAATTGTTTGGATACAAATGAGGATACCCTTTCTACGAAGATTTCAAAGAGCGTCGTATGACTCTTACTCAAAAGCTGTTTGATCAGGGATCATCCAAGGCCTTATTAATTAGTAAAACTTTTTTAACGGTAGACATCTGGAGAACATTTCAAAAATTTGACGCATCAGTGACAAAATGATGTCCGATGCTAATCCCTATTTTGGCTAGAACTATATGTGTCCGTGATATCTTTTCAGGTGAATAATTGACTTGTATTTGCTTGTGTTTGTGATAGGTGCAACTGGCGGGGAAGGTTAGGCCCACCCTTTCGAAAACAACTGGTATCATCACAATTTCTTAATAAATCATAAACACATGCTTATGATAATGTCGGAATCGTGCAATAGGGACTGCTTTTAGTGGAGATTTCTTATGAGGATGGAAATGTTTTTTGGCGCTTATAAGCTCTAGTCAATCGTTTTTGAATTGTTTAGGGTGTATTACATTATATATAAATGAGATATCAGGTGCTTAACCTCATCAAACCGGACGAATTTGGATTTTCGAGGTTGAAGAGCATTTTATGCAAGCAGACTTTCAAGTCATTGTCTTATTGACAGGGCGTGGCCATCCTGACACCGAAATCCGCTTTCGAATGAGGATCAAACGTAACCATGGCCAGATTAATGACCTGAATATAATCATCAGAATAGATAACAGCTGTGAATATCTTCGTTGTACTGAAAGATGATTCGATTCATGCTATGTACGCTTAAATAATAATGTAAAGTCATTGTGTTCTCTTTATAAATGATGCAATGGTAGAGCACGTTACAATGGAATCAGGCAAAAAAT